ATCAACTAATTGTTTTTGTCCGGTAGACAAACCATTTTCGATTAAATTTTGGTGTTCGGAGTAGGCGATTTTGTTTCTTCACGCATTAAGATTTAAATCACTGAGTTGGTAATTGTGGTTAATGATTATCTTTCCCGCAAAAGGCTTATATAATCCGATAAGTAAACTAATAATCGTGCTTTTACCAAAACCGTTAGCACCCGTCAAATAGTTTAATTGACCCTTTTGAAATTGATAACTAATTTTCGTCAGAACCAAGTTGTTTGGTTCATAAGCGAAACTTACTTCTTGAAAAGAAATAACTGTAATTGGTTCTTTTATAATCAAATTGTTTTGAATATCATTTCGTTCTTCCCGAGCCAGGAATTCATTCAAACGTTTTTGGGCCGAAAAATAATAAGGATAGTTTCATAATCTTTCAATCATTTTTTTTAGTTCGTCAAAAAGTTTTGTCAACATTGTTAAAGCGAGAAAACTTTCCCTGCTCCGCATAAAAGGGAGAAAAATCAGGTTTGCAAGCGGAATTAGTAAATAAGAAGGAACCACGAAAGCCGCTGTGTAAAGAAAATCATTCTGGTTGGCAACTTTTCTCGTTTTCGTTACAATTAGTCGATATCCTTTTCGAAAAGTAAAAATTAAGCCTTTTTTAATTATGAGATTACGATTATTAATTAAAACATTTTCTTTTTTGGTTTGCTTTTCTAACTGTTTTTGAAATAGTAAATCCTTCTGGTAAAGCAAGTAGTCCAAAACTAAACAAGTTAACGCTATTAGAAGAGAATAAGCACTTCCCCACCCCAAAACATTATCCCGAGCCTTGTTAAGACCGATAAAAGTAAAAATAGCACTGAGAATTATAAGAAAAATCTGGTTAGGAACAAAAATTACCATATCCGCAAAATTTCGTACATCATAAGTAAGAACATTAAGGGCCTCCTTTTCCGAGCAATTCCCTTGGATTTGTAAAATCTTACGAACAATATCCCGCTTAACATCGTAAATAATCTTGTTAGCAAAATAATGACGGTAATAAACGTGAGCCGTTACTATTAGAAAGTAGACCACAATAACTCCGCCCATAAACCAGGCAAAAGATTGTCAGGTGTAAAAAGTATGAACATTGGTTCAAAAAAGACTAAAATCGAGGTTTCGGCTTTTCCCCTTGATAACATCATAAATTTTATCTGCCGCATTTTTTTTGATAGTGAAATTAAGTAAAAAACTTAAAGTTCCTAGAAGATAAAGAATAACTTGTTTTTTTCAGTATTTTTTGGTGATAGTGCGAAAATTAAGAGTTTTTATGGCAATTATTTTCTTGGTGGTCATTTATTAATTTTTTTTAGGATTTTTGAATTGTGATTACGTTCTGTTCTAATGGCAACGTTACGTCCTTAAATAAAAATTTAATGAGTAGGGAGAAGGAGAATATAATATGTCAAAGTTACCTAACCACAAATCCGCATAATGCGCATAATAACTGAAAAAAAGCCTTTAATATTTTTAATTTTTAAAATTAAATAATGAGTACTTGGATAAGTATTATTAGAAAAACGAAAAGAACAAAAAAATCCATTTCTAGTCGACAATCGACTCAAAATTCATGTGTGGGCTGCCGAAAGCCGATTTCGGTATTTTCTTCACCTTGAAAACCGGAAAAGTTGGAAAAGAAAGAAATTAGAAAAACAAGTTTCTGCTTTAAAAATCGATGTGAATAACTTAAAAGATAATTGCATGCTGGCGAGCCAATTGTTACCAAAAATTATTGGAATACAGGAACAAATTAGTCGATTAAAAAACCAACAAGAAAACCAAAACAACGAAATTTCCCATATTGAAGAATTGGAAAAACAAGTTGAACAATTACAAGTTCAATTAGTTGGTTCACCAACGGAAAAAGAACAAACTCAAATCCAAATTTCTCCTAAAAATAATTAATCTTGACTTTATTTTCAATACTGATATTAGCCGTCAAATTTAAATTTACAATTTTTTATTTGCGAACTTTTAAAATATATAATGTAATTATCTCAAGATAATTAATTTGAAGTAAAAATATGTTTTGCCACATCTGTTCCCAAGAAAAGAATCTAACAATACCATTCTTTTTAATATCTATTTTTTTGGAAGACTTAGATAACCCTGATAACCAACAATTCAAAAAGTTTTTGAGCAATGCTTTGTTGTGTGCCAATAGAAAGCAAGGTTTCACTGAACAAAACAAACAGTTGTTAAGCACTGTTGCTTCTTCGTTAGAAGACATGATACCTCCCGTTTCCCGAGAGGATATTTTTAGAATTAAAAATTTAGTAGACCAAGGTGAACTGTTCGGTCAAAGTAAAGGAGATGAAAAAAATTTAAGCAATTTGAGTAATTCAGATTTTGGCCATTACAGATGATTTAAACATGTATGCTTTGAATGTTTTCTCAAAAAATTAAGAGAAAAATCCTTAGATATCGAGAAACAAAACTTTTATCGAAAAAAAGATGATTATCTTGATGACAACGGAAGTTCCTCACGTGTGATATATTACTCCCTTTTACAAAATCCTATAAATTCACCACAGCAATATAATCTCTTGGCAAGACTGTGAAAAGCGGATAAATCTTCAATAGCCAACAATGAATCTTTTCTTTCAATTTTCATTTCTGCTTTTATTTACTTTGTCTGAATAAAGAAAATAAAACATTACTAGCCATGACCGTACATTTTTGCTACAATTGTTCACAAGAACAAGAAGCTACTTGAAAAAAATGGAGTAGTGAAACAAAAAAAGAATGAATAACAGAAGGGGAAACAAGAAAATTGGTTGAAAACACTATTGTTGATTGACGATTATGGTGTAAAAATTGTAACAGTTGTTTGGATAAAAAGACAGGAGTGTTAAAAACAAAGGTTCTCAAAGAAGAAAAAATGAATCTTGAAATTGAAAATTCTGCACGAGCATTAGAACGGAACTCGGCACTATTATTTAATGAAGCCACTAACCTCATAATTTATAGTCAAAATTGAAAAAACAAAAAAGATATTGAGCAATTACAATCCCAGCAAGAACAAGCCCAAATACAGCTTAATCAAGTTGGGGAAAAAGTTAATGAAAGTATTTCAACCTTTCAAACACAAATGGGCAAAGTTGATAATGAAGTTAGTGAATTAACCAACAAAGTAGATAATTTAACAACTTCAAATCAACAAACTCAAAATGAAGTTGACAAAATAAAAACTGATTCAGAAAAAACCGAAGATATTCTTGCCAGGCACGAAAACAGAATTGATAAAGTTGAAAATCATATTGCGGAAACAAAAAAACAGGAAGCAAACGAAATAATTGAGAAGGCCATTCAATTACAAAAGCGGGAAAAGGCCGAAGCTCAAGCGAGAAACCAAAACATTTTCAACCCATATAATCCTCGCAACTGATTACTTTACTTCTTGGCTTTTTCCTTTGGCTTAATAGCGGCCCTCAAATATAAACGAAGACGGCAAAAAAACCGCTTAAAAAAGTTAAAAAGTGAGTTTGTTGACCTGCAAACAGACATT